GAGAGGGGGGGGGGGCTGGTGGCCGAGAGTCCGCTGGTGTCTCCTGCCTGCCTTGCTCGACCCCCCCCCCCAAAGATTGTCTCCTTCCAGCTAAGGAGCTGGCAGCGATGATGGGGTCTCTCCAGATTCCCAGGCACACCCCAAGCGACGACGGCAGCAGCCGCAGCCGCATCGTTCCCTCGCTCTGCTTTCCCCCCCCCCTTGCCCTTCCGTCTGTCTCCCATGAAAAGGGCTTTTGCACATTCCTTTAGAATCAAATATTTCCCGGTCGTTTCTGTTAGGATCCAGCGGCATTCGTTCGTGCCCTTCTTCAGGCACATATCCATCCTGCTGCCGCTCCCCCCCCCCTTCCAGCTGACTGAGTGGGCAAAGATGCTGGTAGAAACCTTGCACAGGATCAGGATTAAGGCAGGAGGCAGAGCAAACTGGACAAAATTCACCCGGAGGAGAGGAGGGGGAAGTGGCGACCAGACCTTCTGCCCACGAGCCCTTCGGTGTGGCTTTTCTGTCTGCCGAGAGATTAACGGCTGTGGGGAGGCTAGGCAGAAAGCATCCAGCAGCCCTCCTGCCTCGGCTGCTGGCAAGTCCTCCCCCCGGGGGGGGGCTGGTTTGTACGACTGTGATGCTGCCCTTGACAGCTGGCTTTCTGCTCCCAATGGGCCCTTTTCTGGATCTGAGGCTGGCACTTTGAAGGGACAGAAGCGCCTTGCCTTGCCTTGCCTTTTGGTCCCTCGCTGCTGGGATCAAGGAGGCAAAACCTGCGCTTCTTTGCTTTCCAGGAGCCCAAGGCAGTGCTGGATCCCCATCACCACCCTCCCCCCGCTTTGCAGTGCAGATCCCAAGAGAGATTCCTCCCCCCCCCCAAAGGCAGGAGGCTTTGCAATGGGATCCCCCCCCCCACGTTTGACTCCCATTCTCCTCCTGCCTCTTTTTAGATTGTAGGTTCTGATGGAGGTGAGGGATGCACAAATAGAAGCTGCTCCACTAACTCCTTGTTGTGTTCCACCTTATAGCCATCATCTCCACGTGAGCTGACTAACTGCAGATGCCCCACCGATCACATAGGACTCCATAATTGCCTTCTGTTGTAACTGCACTCCCTGGATCCGTGCAGGTGTAAGGAATGCAGGCATCATGAGAAACTAGCCAAGAGCCAAGGTCAAGATAGCATTTTGTTTCACAGCAGTCCGAGAAGTCTCTGCCCAATGATCCAAACATGTTTTCTCACTCAGCTCAGCTCAGCTCAGCCAATTTACAGAATTTAGAGAAATGTAAAGACACAGGGACGGCATGTAACCCCATTTCTGCTGGTTTCACCACAAACAGCACCAAGTGCTATGGAGACTGACTGGGTTGTAAGAACACAGGAATGAGAGTGCGACATTAGACTCCATCCCGTTGCTTCTGACTTATCCTTGCAGGGGCTTCAAGGTACGCAAGGTATGTAAGAAGGGGCTTGGTCTTAGGCATCTCCAGTGAGTTTCTGTGGCCAAGCAGGGATATGAACCCGCATCTCCTTGAGTCCAATCCACAATGTCATACTCAAATCATATATTTGATTCACTAGTTGTTATGTGTTGTCAAGTCATCCTTGACTTCTGGTGACCCCATAAACGAATACACTCCAAAATGTCCTGCCCTCAATAACTCTGCTCAGTTTTTGCAAACTTCAGCCTGTTGTTTCCTTTAGGGCGTCAATCCATCTCATATTTGGTCTCCCTTGTTTCTTGCTGCCTTCAACTTTTCCCAACCTTATTGTCTTTCCCAGAGAATCCTGTCTTCTCATGATGTTCCCCAAGTAGGACAGGCTAAGTTTCAACATTTTTGCCACCAGAAATAGTCCAGGGTTGATTCGATCCAGGGTCCACTTCTTTGTCCTTCTGGAAGTCCAGAGTATCCAACGATGCTCCCATCCAACACCACATTTCAAACGGGTCAGTTTTTTTTCTTGTTGGCTTTCTTAACTGTCCAGCTTTCATGCCCAAACATGGTGATCAGAAAGAGAAGGGTGTGGATGATCTTGGTCTTAATCTCCAATGATACATCCTTACACTGGAGATGACCTTTTCTAGTCTGTTCATTTTGCTTATTGTTTATATTATTCTATAGTGTGCATTGCATTTATTATACACTGCCCAGAGTAGCAATTTACTAGATGTGCAGTATATAAATTGAATGAATGAATGAATGAATGAATGAATGAATGAATGAATGAATGCAATTCATTGCTAAAACTATACAGCATATTCAAACACTGGAATGGTTAGCTCCCTTGACATACCTCTTTCCCAGAAACAACTCTTAGTATTTAAGTGAAAGCCAAATCCACCTGGAGTGAAACCTGGCAAGGGACTGAGTCTTGAAGTAATATATTGCTTGATAGTCCCATTCCTATGTTAAGAAAGCATTGCCACTTTGTTATTTGTATCTTCTCATCACTCCTTGCATCTGGATTTTGATTCATAAAAGCTCAAACCAGAATAGATATATTAATATTTACAGTGCTAGAATAGTTTGCCCCCTCCAGGCCCTTTAAATTTGCTGTTGTATTGTGAGAGTCAAGCACAGCTACGTCCTTGGAAATGTGCAGTATTAAGGTGAAGCCGACTCCTCTTTGCAGCCCGTTACTTTGGTGAAATGGGAGGTGTGTAAGGGTAGCAAGGACCACTAGAAGCTACTGGGAGCTGGATCCAGACAGAAAGGCCTTCTCCAGCTGTGCATCAGTCACTCCAACGTGATGCCCAGCAGTGGGACATGGCAGCAGAGCGTCCTCTCACCCCTGCCCTCCAGCAGCTGGTCTGGAATGGTACAGAGTCACGGTGATAGCCCCCCCCCCCAGCCCTTGGTCTTAAAGAGAAAATGGGACATGAAGGGCGCTACAGCCCCATGGAAAATGTATTCTTCCACCACCTCCTAGTTAATGTTTTCTACTGAACAGCCAGGTTAAAAAAAGGAAAAGATCTGTGCGCCTCAAATGTTGATCCTTGTTGGCATTGCTGTGCTTGGGTCGCGCTGTGACCCCCACCCCCATTTTATTTTAAATGAATATTGAGGCCAAGCTTTTGTTTCAACAGCAGTCTTTTAAAAGTTTAAAAACTGTTGCCAAGGACAATTTTGCCCACGAGCACCGGGGCAGAAAGCAGGTTGGGAATCGGTTGGGAAGAAGTCATGGGGGGGGGGGGGCGGGGGGCAGCCCAGCAACGCAAGCCATCCTTTATCCTTTATGGAGGGTAAAAGGTGGTGGTGATCGGTCTTGGATTCCCAGCTGAGCATCTGCTCTCCTTCCAACAAGGGCTGATCCAACCCTGTTTACTCAGGAGTCCTGCCCAACACGGCTTCTGCGCTCCATTGTGCTCGGGAGGCCCTTCTGTGCATTTAGCCTCGTGGCGCAGTGGTTAAACCGCTGTCCTGCAGCCAAAACCGTGCTCACGACCTGGGGTTCAATCCCAGGTAGCCGGCTCAAGGTTGACTCAGCCTTCTATCCTTCTATCCTTCCGAGGTCGGTAAAATGAGTACCCAGCTCGCTGGGGGGGGGGGCAATGTGTAGCCTGTATAATTAAATTGTAAACCGCCCAGAGAGTGCTTGAAGCGCTATGGGGCGGTATATAAGCAGCACGCTTTGCTTTAACCAACGGCACATCGGCCAGCGCTTTCAAGACCTAACGAGGCAAGAGAGAGAGAGAGATTCACAAGCTGTGCGAGAAGAAACGGGGCAGCGGCTCCACCCGCTTCTTCCTTCCCTCCCCCTTTGGAGTCCTGCACCACCAGCCGCTCGGTGGTTGCAGCCAACTCATGACTGAGTGTGTGTAACTAAACATGCGGCAGAAATAGGAACGTAAGGGGAGTGTGACTCACGTGGGGACTCTGTGCTTCGGAGTTTGTGGCTAAGGAACAGGTGATAACCTTTACTGGATCACAAAAGAAATACAACAAAAACCAAACAAAAAAACAGCGAGCTTTTGATGATGATTCATCTTCTTCAGGCTCTGCACCCAGCTCTTGCGGGTAGTTCCGCGAACTCCTATCCTTTTAGGAAAGTCCCAGAGTCTCGTGGCCATCGCTGGGGCCAGGT